GAAAGTTTTCGCTCTGGTCTAGAATGGTTTCCCTTCTTGGGATTCCATGTGTTCCTGACGTCATCTTAGTCTCTTTGCTTTCATCTATTTTGTTATCAATCAGTCATGATTTCATGACGCTATATCTGTTTCTGTTCTTGCTTTCTGTCTTGTTTCTTCTGTGACAATCTTGACAAAACACCAAAGAAAAGAAGAAGACCAAAGAACAGGTAGTCATCCCTTACGTCACAAGTCTGTCATAAAGCATTCAGTGGATTAACCGTGGTCACTGTATAACAGCAGCTAGGAAACCTCACAAGACTCTCCAAGAGAGCTTGTCCATCTTCGTGATAAAACACCCAACTTGGGAGAACATCTATTATCTGTTTATCATCTCGTCACACTATTTTGTAAATTGACAAGACCGGGACAGAGACAGGACTGCTATTTATAAACCAGACCGATACAGAGACACGACAGTGGTGTATAAACCAGACCGATACAGACACACAACTGTGATGTATAAACCAGACCGATACAGAGACAGGACTGTGATGTATAAACCAGACCGATACAGAGACATGATTGTGATGTATAAACCAGACCGATACAGAGACACGACTGTGATGTATAAACCAGACCGATACAGAGACACGACTGTGATGTATAAACCAGACCGATACAGAGACACGACTGTGATGAATAAACCAGACCGATACGGAGACACGTCTGTGATGTATAAACCAGACCGATACAGACACGACTGTGATGTATAAACCAGACCGATACAGAGACACGACTGTGACGTAAAAACCAGACCGATACAGAGACACGACTGTGATGTATAAACCAGACCGATACGGAGACACGACTGTGATGTATATACCAGACCGATACGGAGACACGACTGCTATTTATAAACCAGACCGATACAGAGACATGACTGTGATGTATATACCAGACCGATACGGAGACACGACTGCTATTTATAAACCAGACCGATACAGAGACATGACTGTCATGTATATACCAGATCGATACAGAGACATGACGGTGATGTATATACCAGACCGATACAGACACACGACTGCTATATATAAACCAGACCAATACAGAGAAACGACTAGATATATAAACCAGACCGATACAGAGACACGACTGTGATGTATAAACCAGACCGATACGGAGACACGACTGTGATGTATAAACCAGACCGATACAGAGACATGACGGTGATGTATATACCAGACCGATACAGACACACGACTGCTATATATAAACCAGACCAATACAGAGGAACGACTAGATATATAAACCAGACCGATACAGAGACACGACTGTGATGTATAAACCAGACCGATACGGAGACACGACTGTGAAGTATATACCAGACCGATACGGAGACACGACTGCTATTTATGAACCAGACCGATACAGAGACATGACTGTGATGTATATACCAGACCGATACAGACACACGACTGCTATCTATAAACCAGACCGATACAGAGACATGACTGTGGTGTATATACCAGACCGATACAGACAAATGACTGCTATTTATAAACCAGACCAATACAGAGAAACGACTAGATGTATAAGCCAGACCGAAACCAGACCGATACAGAGACACGACTGTGATGTATAAACCACACCGAAACCAGACCGATACAGACACGACTGTGATGTATAAACCAGACCGAAACCAGACCGATACAGACACACGACAGCTATCTATAAACCAGACCGATACAGAGACATGACGGTGATGTATATACCAGACCGATACAGACACACGACAGCTATTTATAAACCAGACCAATACAGAGACACGACTAGATATATAAAACCAGACCGATACAGAGACACGACTGTGATGTATTAACCAGATCGATACAGAGACATGACTGTGATGTATAAACCAGACCGATACAGAGACATGACTGTGATGTATAAACCAGACCGATACAGAGACACGACTGTGATGTATAAACCAGACCGATACAGAGACACGAATGTGATGTATAAACCAGACCGATACAGAGACACGACTGTGATGTATAAACCAGATCGATACAGAGACACGACTGTGATGTATAAACCAGACCGATACAGAGACACGACTGTGATGAATAAACCAGACCGATACGGAGACACGTCTGTTATTTATAAACCAGACCGATACGGAGACACGACAGTGATGTATAAACCACACAGATACAGAGACACGACTGTGATGTATAAACCAGACCGATACAGAGACACGACTGTGATGTATAAACCAGACCGATACAGAGACACGACTGCTATTGATAAACCAGATCGATACAGAGACACGACTGTGATGTATAAACCAGACCGATTCAGAGACAGGACTGTTATTTATAAACAAGACCAATACAGAGACACGACAGTGATGTATAAACCAGACCGATACAGAGACACGACAGTGATGTATAAACCACACAGATACAGAAACACGACTGCTATTAATAAACCAGACCGATACAGAGGCACGACTGTGATGTATAAAACAGACCGATACAGAAACAGGACTGTGATGTATAAACCAGGTGTATACAGAGACACGACTGTGATGTATAAACCAGACCGATACAGAGACACGACTGTGATGTATAAACCAGACCGATACAGAGACACGACTGCTATTTATAAACCAGACCGATACAGAGACATGACAGTGATGTATATACCAGACCGATACAGACACACGACAGCTATTTATAAACCAGACCGATACAGAGACATGACTGTGATGTATATACCAGACCGATACAGACACACGACAGCTATTTATAAACCAGACCGATACAGAGATATGGCATTGATGTATATACCAGACCGATACAGACACACGACAGCTATTTATAAACCAGACCGATACAGAGACATGACTGTGATGTATATACCAGACCGATACAGACACACGACAGCTATTTATAAACCAGACCAATACAGAGAAACGACTAGATGTATAAACCAGACCGAAACTAGACCGATACAGAGACACGACAGTGATGTATAAACCAGATCGATACAGAGGCACGACTGTGATGTATAAACCAGACCGATACAGAGACACGACTGTGATGTATAAACCAGACCGATACAGAGACACGACTGCCATTTATAAACCAGACCGATACAGAGACACGACTGTGATGTATATACCAGACCGATACAGAGACACGACAGTGGTGTATAAACCAGACCGATACAGACACACAACTGTGATGTATAAACCAGACCGATACAGAGACAGGACTGTGATGTATAAACCAGACCGATACAGACACACGATTGTGATGTATAAACCAGACCGATACAGAGACACGACTGTGATGTATAAAGCAGACCGATACAGAGACACGACTGCTATTGATAAACCAGACCGATACAGAGACACGACTGTGATGTATAAACCAGACCGATACAGAGACACGACTGCTATTTATAAACCAGACCGATACAGAGACACGACTGTTATTTATAAACCAGACCGACACAGAGACACGACTGTGATGTATAAACCAGACCGATACAGAGACATGACTGTGATGTATAAACCAGACCGATACAGAGACAGGACTGTGATGTATAAACCAGACCGATACAGAGACACGATTGTGATGTATAAACCAGACCGATACAGAGACACGACTGTGATGTATAAACCAGACCGATACAGAGACACGCTGTGATGTATAAACCAGACCGATACAGAGACACGACTGTGACGTAAAAACCAGACCGATACAGAGACACGACTGTGATGTATAAACCAGACCGACACGGAGACACGACTGCTATTGATAAACCAGACCGATACAGAGACACGACTGTGATGTATAAACCAGACCGATTCAGAGACAGGACTGCTATTTATAAACCACACCGTTACAGAGACACGACTGTGATGTATAAACCAGACCGATACAGAGACATGACAGTGATGTATATACCAGACCGATACAGACACACGACTGTGATGTATAAACCAGACCGATACAGAGACACGATTGTGATGTATAAACCAGATTGATACAGAGACACGACAGTGATGTATAAACCAGACCGATACAGACACACGATTGTGATGTATAAACCAGACCGATTCAGAGACAGGACTGTTATTTATAAACCAGACCGAACAGAGACACGACAGTGATGTGTAAACCACACAGATACAGAAACACGACTGTGATGTATAAATCAGACCGATACAGAGACACGACTGTGATGTATAAACCAGACCGATACAGAGACACGACTGCTATTGATAAACCAGACCGATACAGAGACACGACTGTGATATATAAACCAGACCGATACAGAGACACGACTGCTATTTATAAACCAGACCGATACAGAGACACGACTGTCATTTATAAACCAGACCGACACAGAGACACGACTGTGATGTATAAACCAGACCGATACAGAGACATGACTGTGATGTATAAACCAGACCGATACAGAGACACGACTGCTATTTATAAACCAGACCGATACAGAGACACGACTGCTATTTATAAACCAGACCGACATAGAGACACGACTGTTACGACACGACTGTCGTAACTAATGCACCTTTGTGACAAAGATAAACGCAATGTGAATGTATATTTATATCTAACTCATAAACCGTTATCTATAATTTTGATATTGTCGTCAAATCGTTGACAGTTTTTATTGCCTCAATCCTGTTAAATTTGCCCTCATTAGCTAATGATTGCTGATGAAAATACAGATTACACTATCGAGATATTGTGCAATGCTCCATGTTTTAGCTGTTGTTTCATTGGTCAACATTATCACGTGATCAAATGTGGCCTTCAAGACGATCTCGAAGTTACAAACCTATCCTGGAATATTTATTTCTGTATGAAAAAAAGGAAACAACAATTTCATGACATACGATAGATCAAAATACAAATAAAATACTTAAGACTGAAGACAGATTTGTTTGTGACATAACATCAGTGATACGATATCCCTACCTGTCTCTTTGCTGACCTTCGGATGACGTACTTGTCCTCACCTTGTATTCCAAGGTCGTTATATTTGTAAGTATAAGGAACAATTTATAGGTAAATCCTCCACACTACACTTCCCCTCCCTCGAACAGAAACTACGTTGTTGCGAAAACACACACGACCTCTGTCGGGCAGATAGATAGACGAAGCGCGTTCTACATCTGCAAAACCAATGTGCTAGGCACTTACAGGGAGTACACAAAGGTATGTCCGAACATCCCACATATTAACCGCAGTGCTCCTCCGAACGACTTTACGGAACAATCAGAAATACGTTGATTTCCCTGCTCAGCACTGTAGACTCTCGTGCTGCCGATAATTATCACACTGCGCGATGGAAAATCTTTGCTTTCAGCTGTTTTCAATTTGATCTACATTTACCCAATACACAAGATAGGAACAGGGTTGCGCATCTAAGTATGCGCGGTAGTCATTTCGTTAGGATCAGATTTCAGGCACAGAACCCGATTTCGTGACGTCACAAATATACTGCACGTGCTCCCGTCAGGTACTGATGGCTATGGGAGAATGTAGTTTGTTTTGGACGTTGAGGGGAGAGCCGTTACATTTACTTGCGTGTACCGCACGACCTAACCTCGCCCCAGGTACTAGACACTGTGTTGTTCTTGTGGTGTGGCTGGATCACCGACCTGGAAAGTTGTCAAAAGTTTACATCAAGTCATCATATTGTAATAAACAAAACAAATTACGGTATTCAAAACTGCATACATCGTCATAAACAACCACTACCCCCTTCATCCTCCACCCCCACACCACCCCCACCTCCTTCACCCTCTACCCCCTTCACCCTCTACCCCCCTTCACCCTCCACCCCTACCCCCACCCCCTTCACCCTCCACCCCCACCCCTTCACCCTTCCCCCTCCACCCCCAACCCCGCCCCCTTCACCGTCTACTTCCATCCCACCCCCACCCCACCCCACCCCTTTCACCCTCCACCCACTTCACCCTCCACCCTATTCACCCACCACCCCCATCCCCTTCACCCTCCACCCCTTCACCGTCTACTCCCACCCCACCCCCACCCACTTCACCCTCCACCCCATTCACCCACCACCCCCATCCCCTTCACCCTCCACCCCAACCCCCATTCCTGCACCCTCCACCCCCAACCCCCACCCCTTCACCCTCCACCCCCTATTCCCACGTTTTTTATTATCTTTTTATATATTGTAATTGAAATGCTAGAGTAAAAAAAATACGATCAAAAAATAAAAATATTATTTCAATGTTATCAACATCACATTGAATATCAAAATCATGACATCATTTTGATTTTTTTTCTGTATATTTGTTCTGTATTTGTTTTAGGGTATGAAGGTATGTTTGTGATGGCTTGTAGTGGCGGTGGTGTGTGTGTGGAGGGCTGGGGGTGGGCAGATGATTATACAAATAAACAAATAGGCATCTAAGTTTGTAAGCGTGACTATCGTGTCTCCGATCCAAACTCGTTACAATTAATGTATTAATGGGTTACCAGACTCCTCTTCTTTAATAACAAAAGGGTGATCGATAATCCCAGATCTTTCTGTCTCCTGTACTCTAGTGATGATAATCCCAGATCTTTCTGTCTCCTGTACTCTAGTGATGATAATCCCAGGTCGTTTTGTCTCCTGTAATCTAGTAATGATAATCCCAGGTCGTTCTGTCTCCTGTACTCTAGTGATGATAATCCCAGATCTTTCTGTCTCCTGTACTCTAGTGATGATAATCCCAGGTCGTTTTGTCTCCTGTAATCTAGTAATGATAATCCCAGGTCGTTCTGTCTCCTGTACTCTAGTGATGATAATCCGAGATCGTTCTGTCTCCTGTACTCTAGCGATGATAATCCCAGGTCTTTCTGTCTCCTGTACTCTAGCGATGATAATCCCAGATCTTTCTGTCTCCTGTACTCTAGCGATGATAATCCCAGATCTTTCTGTCTCCTGTACTCTAGCGATGATAATCCCAGGTCTTTCTGTCTCCTGTACTCTAGCGATGATAATCCCAGGTCTTTTTGTCTCCTGTACTCTAGCGATGATAATCCCAGGTCTTTCTGTCTCCTGTACTCTAGTGATGATAATCCCAGATCTTTCTGTCTCCTGTACTCTAGTGATGATAATCCCAGGTCTTTCTGTCTCCTGTACTCTAGCGATGATAATCCCAGGTCTTTCTGTCTCCTGTACTCTAGTGATGATAATCCGAGATCGTTCTGTCTCCTGTACTCTAGTGATGATAATCCCAGATCTTTCTGTCTCCTGTACTCTAGCGATGATAATCCCAGATCTTTCTGTCTCCTGTACTCTAGCGATGATAATCCCAGGTCTTTCTGTCTCCTGTACTCTAGCGATGATAATCCCAGGTCTTTCTGTCTCCTGTACTCTGATGTCCCAGATCTTTCTGTCTCCTGTACTCTAGTGATGATAATCCCAGATCTTTCTGTCTCCTGTACTTTAGTGATGATAATCCCAGATCTTTCTGTCTCCTGTACTCTAGTGATGATAATCCCAGGTCTTTCTGTCTCCTGTTTTATTTCTGATTTATTTGATCAGCCGTGTTACCTGCCGTTGTACATTTGCTGTGGTTCTGTCCTTGACGATATTGACAGAGCACATCTTAAATCAATACCTTTTACACGTTAATGAATGTCTCTTTTTTCTGTACACGAGATATCTTTTGATTAATGTACCAAAGTTTTTGTTTGTTTTTTGTTGTTTTTTTAGTTCGTTTATGTTTCTTTGTGGTTCACTTCCCTTACTGTCATATGGTATTGATGATTTCCGGTAAATGTGCCTAGCCTTATTCACTTTTGTCACTTTTGAAATTTAGTTGCCAACCTTCAGATCATTTTATGAGAATGTTTATGTCATTTTGAAAATTTCTTCTATCCATGGTGTTATACACAATAGAAACCAGATTTCCGAGGGAAACGGAAGGAAAGAGGTATCTTTTGATCTAGTGTATCCCTTGGTAACTACTGGAGATATCGAGCGGATGGTGCATAGGTCACTGAAGTGAGGCGACATAACTCTGTGAATTACTGACCGAAACTTATGTTATCCAACTCGTACTGACTATCATGGTAATGAATATCCCTATGAAGTTTGATCTGATCACTCTGATGGCTCCTTCAGTCACCCATGTTGTTCTGTATACTGTAATGACTCCTTCAGTCACCCATGTTGTTCTGTATGCTGTGATGACTCCTTCAGTCACCCATGTTGTTCTGTATGCTGTGATGACTCCTTCAGTCACCCATGTTGTTCTGTATGCTGTGTTGGCTCCTTCAGTCACCCATGTTGTTCTGTATACTGTGATGACTCCTTCAGTAACCCATGTTGTTCTGTATGCTGTGTTGACTCCTTCAGTCACCCATGTTGTTCTGTATGCTGTGTTGGCTCCTTCAGTCACCCATGTTGTTCTGTATACTGTGATGACTCCTTCAGTCACCCATGTTGTTCTGTATGCTGTGTTGACTCCTTCAGTCACCCATGTTGTTCTGTATGCTGTGTTGGCTCCTTCAGTCACCCATGTTGTTCTGTATGCTGTGATGACTCCTTCAGTCACCCATGTTGTTCTGTATGCTGTGTTGGCTCCTTCAGTCACCCATGTTGTTCTGTATGCTGTGATGGCTCCTTCAGTCACCCATGTTGTTCTGTATGCTGTGTTGACTCCTTCAGTCACGCATGTTGTTCTGTATGCTGTGATGGCTCCTTCAGTCACCCATGTTGTTCTGTATGCTGTGATGACTCCTTCAGTCACCCATGTTGTTCTGTATGCTGTGTTGACTCCTTCAGTCACCTATGTTGTTCTGTATACTGTAATGACTCCTTCAGTCACCCATGTTGTTCTGTATACTGTAATGACTCCTTCAGTCACCCATGTTGTTCTGTATGCTGTGTTGACTCCTTCAGTCACCCATGTTGTTTTGTATGACTTTGTGGAGGCTTTTGATCTGATCGCTTCTATATGTTCTTTGTAAGATACATCTTGAAAGTTACATCACATGGCTGAGCTGCTCGGTGGAAGGTGTTCTATACCTTGATAAAGCAGTACAGCTGTCATCAATATATGCTTGACAATTGAAGAAAGGCTCGGTCGGTCAGGCATGCAATTCAAAGATTGTCTCATAGAACAAAACAAATTTCTTCACGTTATTTAAGACTAGGGCATTGTTCATTTTACTTTCAGAAAAGGCTTTGCGCGCAATCACAAAACCTTAATCACTTGAAAAATCTAATTTTTTTTTCAACTGGCTGATCAAATGTCATTTGACTAGCATTATGGTCATCATAGAAATGGCTGGTCAATTTTATCATGCTATACATCATTGATGGTGGAAGGTTTCCGGGATGACCACCCATTAAAAAGTTTCTTTGTGTCACTGTTTGTCGTTTTCATGATCTCTTGTACAACCGTATCTTTCAGCTTCTCATAAATGGCCGCTTGTACCTGTCTTATGCATTACACCCAGCAGTTTTCCTCTCTACCCGTACATGGTTTGAGTGGACAGTTAGTATTTCAATTACTCTTTCACATCTAATATCATCCTCAACTGTCTTTTACAAAGTTGCATTCCCTCTCCCCTGTACTTTTACCTGCAATCGTGGTGTTTGCTTTGGCCTGTTCGCTCAGTAGGTCTCGTGTACCTTTTTCTGAATTTCATTTTAAAACGGATCTGATTGGTAATAGCTTGGTCGATTGTGCAACAAACTACTGGCATACCTGACAGGAACAGACTGGGTTCCTCTCTTTGCCGATTTGTTGTCATATGACTCAATTGATTGAAGAGTTTATCAAAACTTATCAGCCACCTTGCAGAGTCCTTAGATTTCACTTTCAGAAATATTGACGATGACAAATTTATCATATCTATCGTATAGATTCACTAGAAATCAATGAATCAACAGAATCTTCTATGTACCCGATCAGCTGTTTACCTCGGTCTGCTGAAACGAAACTGTGATAAGCGTGATGATTTTGGTTTCCTAATCGTGAATTTTCCATTTCCGGATAATAGTCTTATTCAAGGGCCTGTTTCCAATATCACGGTTTTTCTAGTATACTGTATACACGAGCGTGACGATCCGGGTGAGAGATTATCTAATAGTTCGGCTCTTATTTGGGACACAGGAAACAATATTTTGATTTCTGTGTTTGTTCTTTTTTGTTAGTTTGTTTGATTTGGTTGTTTGTTTGTTGTTTAAGAAGTTGAAGTTTTGGAAACTCTTAAGGAATCACTACTTCTATGTCTAAATAATTTGAATATCATCAAAATATTTCAACTACCATTGTAACCATGGGACGTAAAATAAATAGGGGACAGGGAACTCCTAATGGTAGGTTTACATTAAATAGG